AGCCACCAATACAGCAGCGTTGAGAAGGATGTGGAAAGAGGGGCTGATAAAATCTCAAGACTGGACTAGGCTGCTAAAACGAAGAAAGACAAAAATGACTGTCTGTACTTTAGATGCACGTATGCTGACATCAGATGCATCCATTGAGGACCTGATGGTACAAGCGCAAAAGATCAAGTACGACATCATTGGTCTGACCAAGACGAGAAGGCATCAATCACATCACGCCATTTTCGACACTGGAGAAGAACTATTTCTCAGAACATGTGAAAAAAGAGACGTCGGTGGTGTCGGTGCCCTTGTCAATAAGAACTTGGCCATGAATATTGATTCATTTGAATGCCTAAAAACCTGAATCGGATGATTACACTTGAGTAGATGTGGCTCAGTGCTGGCAGTTTCTATCTTCGTTGTCTACGCACCAACATCCAATTATGTTTAAGGAGAAATTGAGAAGTTCTACATGGAGTTGGAGAAGTTCTATAAACTTCTACAATATTATTGTCGGTGATTTTAACATATATATATATATATATATATAACTACTTTGTTTTCCAATAATTTCCTAGGATGTACCTACCTGAGTGATTCCTGAATACAGAGCTAGGAATAAGCCTTCAGAATTGCTGGGTGTGGCTCAAAACCAAATCAAAACGCCCTAAAACAATATGACTTCCCACCAGCACGTCAATCTGTACCTGTGAGCTGAGTGCATCAGCAGCCTGTTGGCCTCTTTAGACTTATAGATACCCCAAAATTGCTGCTCTGCCTTTGGCCAGACCCCAACAACTTGGGGCCAAGTTTGCCAAGAAATTAAATGGCCAAAAGTTAGGTATGTGGGAGACACACCCACAAACCACCTGATCAATCTGCTTAACGGCCATGATGCCGGAGACCCAGACACAAATCTCAGAATCCAGCGGCTTTTGGCAGAAATGTGTCTGGTCCCCGCAGTAGGTTACTGGACCCAGGCAACCCCAGGGGGGAAAGAATGCTGTTCCCTCTGCCTACTCCCTCCTGGTGGCTCGGTGGCTGGCATCCTCCAGAGGCCATTGAACAGTCAGGTTTGGGCTCCCAGTGACGAGACACATGGGCCCTCATGGGATGTGAGTGGAACTAGCCCTTTCCTCCTAGCCCCAATGAGACCCCGTGTTGCCGCCCATGAATGGCCTCTCTCACTCCTAATCAAGCTGCTTAATTGCCATGATCCAAGAGACTCAGAAACAAATCTTGGCACCCAGCAGCTTTTGGCAGAAATGTGTCCGGACCCAGCAGCAGGTTACTGGCGCTGGACCACTCCAGGTGGGAATAGGTTTTGTGCCTTGGCCTGTTTCCCTGGGTGGCTTGGAGGCTGCCATTCTCCAGAGGCTATTGGACAGCCAGGTTTGGGCCCGCAGTGATGAGACACGCGGGGCCTCACAGGATATGAGTAGAGAGCCAGCCCTTTCCTCCATGTCCCAAATAGACACCGGGTAACTGCCCACAAATGGCCTCCCTGGCTCCTGATCAAGCTGCTTAACGGTCATGATAGCAGAGACTCAGGAACAAATCTCAGAACCAAGCAGGCTTTGACAGAAATCCCTCGAGATCTAATTGTAAACATTTCGGAATCCCAAAATCACACAGCTTCTATTGTGGCCATGCAACATCATATGTTATCCATATAACCAGCAATAGAAAACAAATTGTCTACAGTTGACTTTTCGGCAGATCTGAGTGTTGGGGTAAAATCCCAAATAATAATGGTCGGTCTGGTGTTGAAATATTGAATGTAATCAAAATAGAGAGAGAAACTTTATTCTCTGAATGAAATCCTTTTCTCTGAGATGAATTTCTTGTGTTGATCATACCCCCTTCTGGAGATTCTGTGCAGCTCTGCCCCTTTATAATCTTCATATCTCTATATTTCTGATCTGGAATCCTGCCATGGAGAAGGGACAGTGGAGGAGTTGACCCTATATGAAAGGGACCATACTGCATCACTTGATCTCCTAATAACAATCCCTATGGTCAAAACAGGACCACTTAATAAAGCAAATTTTCTTTGGACAGTGGGATCAGGGATGCTTCAGAAATACAGGCAAGAAGGACATAATCCTTCCTCCATGAGACAACCTTCCCATGACAACAGTTCTATAGGGGAAAGTCACATGCTGATTATCACCCAAGGGGAAACTATGACATTTTCCCTGTGCTTGGGTTTTTGTGTTTATTAACTTGTAAATAATGGGTTATGGTGATGGAAGCAGGAGGAAAGCGACTAAATAAACAGGTACAAAAATGTCAAAAAAAAAAAAAGAAGAAATTCAGATTCCGAAGCACAGGAAAATTACTTAATCTCACTAATCATCATGGAGATGCAAATCAAGACAACCATGAGGTATCATCTCACACCACAGAGACTGGCACAGGTCCCAAAGGAAGAACCATTGCTAGCATGGATGCTGGAGAAAGGGAATTTTCTTCATTTTTTGTGGAAATGCCGACTGGTCAGCCTTTTGGGAAACAATGTGGAAATTTCTCTAAAGATTAGGAAATTTCTCTAAAGATTAGAACTCCCAATTGACCCAGAATTACCACTTCTGGGAGTATACTCTGGGAGCCCAACAACACACAGTAGAATTACCCTCTACACTCCTATATTCACTGCAGCACTATTCACAATGACCTAATTTGAAACAACCTGCGTTCTTGAGAACACACAACTCTATAAAGAAAACATGGTATATCTACACAAAGGAATACTTTGCAACTGTTAGGAAAATGAAGTCATAAAATTTGCTTGTAAATGGATGCCATGAAGAATATCATACTGAAAGAAATGTGTCAGATGTGTCAGCTATGGTGGGGCAGACATAGAATGACTGCATTCCTTTGTGGGAGGGGCCAGAAGGATTAATCAATGGTTGGAAAATAGGCAAAGTTGTGTAGGGGCAAAGGGAAGATAGGGTAGAGAAGGATCCAGTATGAAAATAATAGTTAGAAATGATAATTCTGGCAAATCTGAGTGTTGAAAGTTGGTAAAGGTATATACATAATAACGTTTCAGTACCTGTATTGGAACCCAGAGGGAAAGAGAGAGAGGGATATATATATATATATATATATATATATAGAGAGAGAGAGAGAGAGAGAGAGAGAGAGAGAGCCTGTCATAGAATCAGGCAGGGAGTGGAGGTAGGAGGGAAACTGGGGACTTGGTGGTGGAAAATGTACACTGGTGAAGGTACGGTTGTTGGATTATATGACTAAAATTCAATCATGAACAATGTTAAAACTGTATTTCTCACTTGGAATGAATTAAAAGAAAGGAAGTCATGTATAATGCCATATCAGTTTCAGTATTTAACAAAAATACCTAGAAAAGTGGGCTGGAATGATAGCACAGTGGAAAGGCGTTTGCCTTGCATGCAGCCAACATGGCCGACTCGAGTTCGATTCCTCCGCCCCTCTTGGAGAGCCCGGCAAGCTACCGACAGTATCTTGCCTGCATGGCAGTGCCTGTCAAGCTACCCCTGAAGTACTCGATATGCCAAACACAGTAACAACAAATCTCATGATGGAGACGTTACTGGGCCTGCTCGAGCAAATCGATGAACAACGGGAGGACTGTGACCGTGACCTAGAAAAGAAAATAATCTCCTGAAATAGAGGAGGGGTTCAGGGTGTCTGAAGACAATGTCTGAAGACATTGGTGGAAGTGGACACTATTTAAGATATTGTTCTTGGAATATATATGCAAGAAATTTAATCATAATCAGTGTTGCAACTCACAGTAATCTAATTAAAAAAACTAAAAATAAGTCCCCAAACATCAAATTTTAGAGTGACGTTCTGGTACCCAATAATTATCTCAACTTTCTGGTGTTCCATGGAATTAGGGGTACTCTTATTGGACCCTGTCTGTTCCGAGATTTTATTCATTTGTTAGGATGGGTAGGGTGTCACCCCTGCTCTTCTCAAGACACGTGCAATGTTGTCAAGTGTGTGAGTCTGAGAACCGGAAACAGATTCCTGCTCCAAAGTTTTTCTGTGCTGAGAACCCGTCACACCATGAGTTTCTCAAAGCATTTGACAGGGTTAAGATTCCCCAGTGATGAGCCCCCAAAACATGGTCCTGACATTCATGGTGACCTTCTGAATGCAGAGTTACATGTAGGTCAGCAGAATTAGGTGCTCCTGAACAGGCCAAGCACACAAGGAAGGTCACCTTGGAGAAAGCTCTACCTTGGTCGAACACAAATCCATCACCAGTGAGAATGAACAAATCCACCCCAATGTTTCCTGTGTATTTCAGAGTGAAGCAGCTATAGGCGAAAGAATTTTCATCCAAGCTGAGTGTACAAATAAACTACTGTGAAACTTTATTGACTATGGATTGGACCTAGCTGTCTGAATTTCCTGACCATATCACAATGACACTTTGCCCGATGTTGTGAGCATACAGAGGGAAAAAAGAAGAGAACACGCAGGTACACGGAGGGTCAGGGGCCTATCTACAGGGTAAAGGCCCGAGAGAGCTCGTTTGGTCATCAGGGACCTGAGACACGGGGACTCTCCTCACCACCTGTCATTTCCCCCTCAGCAATTCATGTTTCCTGAAAGCTCTTCAGCATGTTTCCTGTGCTAGAGGAAGAGGCCCGGGTCTGACAGGGCCCCAGGGACAGACCAGAGTGCTCTGAGCCACAGTCAGTGCCTCCTCCCAGGGAGACCACACACCAGAATCCCACCGGGTTCCCTCCTTTCTCTACAGAGGCTCCCCCATGCAAATCTGCACTCAGGACCCAGGGTTAAAACCACATTCACACTCAACCCAACTTGGCCTCCCTCTCCCCGACACAGTGTCTGAGATCATAGACCTCCTGGGCAGGAACGTGCATGAGCACTGGTTCCTCCTCTATCTCGTGGCAGTTCCCATATGTGAGTATCCCCTGGACAGAGGCTCCAAGGTGAGCATGGGGCCTCTGAGCCCGTAACTCACTCTGAATCTCTGTCCTCAGGTGTCCTTTCTCAAGTACAGCTACAGGAGTCAGGACCAAGCCTGTTGACACCCTCGCAGACACTGTTCCTCACCAACTCGGTCTCTGGATTCTCTATAACCAGCTATAATGTACACTGGGTCTGCCAGGCCCTTGGAAAGGGGCTGGACTGGATTGGTGCTATATGGGGTAATGGGGGCACAGACAAGAATTCAAGTTTTCAGTCCAGAGTCAGTATCACCAGGGACACCTCCAAGAACAATGTTTACCTAAAATTGAGCAACTCGGTAATGGAGGACACAGTCATGTATTATTGTGCAAGAGGGCAAGACTCTGTGAACCCAGACACAAACCTGCTGAGGGAGACAGGGGAGCTGCAGGGGTGCATGTGACCACCAGAGGTCGCTCTCCTCCAGGGATCCCAGGGCTGTGCCCAGGGTCAGGGAGAGAGGTCTATAAGAGGTCACATTCTTTTCTTTCTTTTTCATTTGTTTTTACATATTTTTTCACTTTTGTGGGGATCATTTTCTTCTTTATTATAATATTTAAACCAAATTTAGTAAACCAAGTATATACATTTTAGTTATTCCTTTCTCTTCTAGTACAAATTCGTGTTTTTTTTCTTCCTCTCTCAGAGTCCACTAGAGACCGTTACGACCTGCTAGGTGAGGAGAGGTCGATTTTTCTACAATAAAGATCATTCCTTTTTGCATAAAGGAGAGATTTCCCTGTTACCTTTTTTATTGTCACTGAGGGAACACAATGACAACAGTCTGAGTGTTGATGCTGGTAGGTGACAAATTCCCCGCACTCCTCCGAGCACCAAATACCCACAGGCCCCCACACTCTGCTGGGGCCCCAGAAGAATGAAGAGATGTGCTCGATTTCTTCTTCCCAGTGATCTGGGCTCCCTCCTGATTCCTCTTGGCAACCACAGAGTGTGGTTAGGATGCAGGGGCTGTTAACGTTGGATCCTGTCCATCCTGAAACTTTGTTTTCTATGTATCACAGGTGAATGAGATTATCCGCATTACCCTTATCCCTAGACTTCATTAATTGAATCTAATATTTTTCAGTTTCATCCATGTTTCAGAAAACTAATAATTTTTCACCTTTTCTTACAGCAGCGTAGTGTCCCATTGTGTGTTTTCAACACAACATTTTGTCCATAAAATTGTTATTAAAAATTAGGATAGTTTCCATGTCCTTGCCACTACATAAACACTACAAAAAGGATATGTTCACGTATATCTTCTCAAATTAATTTTTTCCCATTTGGCTGTAGTTATCTGAGTGAAATTATTTGGTCATATAGGAACTATTTTTGATAGTTTTATTAAAATAGTTTTATAAAACCTTTTATTTAAACATCATTAATCACAAAATTACAAATCTATTCATGATTGTTGAAATATTTCCACTTCTTTTGAGAAATCTCCTTAGTATTTTTTATAGAAATAGAACCAAGCATTGACATTCAAAACCTACTTTGAAACCGCGTTCCTCTTTGAGAACATCCCAGCCACACTGGTTGTTTCCAGTCTTGATATCGGCCATTCTCACTGGGCTGAGAGGATCCACCACTGTCCTTCTTATTGACATTTCCCTGACAGTCAGTGCTGAAAAACACTTTCTATACCTACAGCCCACAGGGATGTCACCTCCAGGGAAGTCTCTGTGCATGTCCCCACACCATTTAAGATGGGTGATTTACAGTCAGGGATTTCCTGGTGTGAGCTTTGTAAGCACTATCAGTATCTTTGATAGTAGGGCCACAATTATGATGAGTGTGGGTAAACATTTCCTCCTTTTTCAAATGTTATCTTTTTATCTTAATGTAGTTTTCCTTGCCCTGTAAAATCTTTTTAACTGATTGTATTTTGGTTTGTTTCTTTGATTTTACTTTTCATGTAAAAGTACATTTTCAATGTGATTTTCAATCAGAGTCAAATTATTGATTATACCTCTAAGAACAGTATTGAGAGCTCTGCATACATTTTCCTCAAAATAAAAAAGAAAAACTTCACTTCAATATAAAGGCACTTAAGAATGGGGAATGGAAGAAGAAAAAATTGGATCGAGGGCTGGAGTTCGAGCACTGTGTGTGCATCTTGTTGCTCTGCCTCGTGCTGTAGTGAGCACAACTACGCAGACATCTCTCAGATTAGTGCTTTTCTTACAAGTACCCAAGGCTCACGTGAGTGTGGAAGGTACGTCTGAAGATCTCAGACCACGTGAATTACCTGAGAAATTAGTGGGGGTTATGAGTCCAGTGTCAGTTCTGGTTTGCTTTTGTGCTGTGGAAGTTGGAATCGCACCCCCGCCTATGTTGTTTGCACATGGAGACTGAGGGAAGAGCAACATGCACTGTGAAGACACGGAAGGCGAGTGTCCCAACTACAAACAAACCATGATTCGCGTTCTTCACAATTCCATATCTGAGAGTTCACTGACAATCTGGAATGTGTTTGCACCCAGCATGGAAGGTGACTGGTTTTGTGCGTGTGGTCAGCATGGGACAAGCATTGTGGATTTCCAACAACACGCATTCCAAGTACAGCAAGCACCTGATTCTCTGATCTCTCTCTCCCCAGGCCTCCATGCTCATCCTCCTGACACGAGTTTCCTACACGTAGACAGAAGCTTCGGCTCTGTAGGGAAAGTGCTACTACTACTTACCTGCTTTCCCCTTGAGGGCGCCCGTCGATACCATTTCTCCTTGAAGAACATCACCACTGATCTCTGACTACCCTCCCTCCCAATTCTCCAGACCCTCTCAGAACAGAGATGGCTCCTCTTGGGGTTCTGAAGGGCTGGTGCCAACACTACTCCCTGAAACTTGCTCCTGAGCTCAGGCTCTGCAGTTCTGGGGTCAGAGTGGAGCGGAACAAGGTCAGTGTCACCCTGGGGGTCTTCTCTGACTTCCATCCACCTTACCGCAGGCGGGGCAGTGCCAGCCTCTCCGGGGACAAGAAGAGCAGCTCTCCCCCCGTGGCCGCCACCAGGAGCCAGTTCAGCCTGAGGTGCAGACAGGTCCTGTGGACCAAGAGCAGTCCGGTGCTGAAGAAGACCCCGCACCGGGGCCTGGCGACACTCAGCAGGCAGCGATTGAGCGAGCCTCAGGCCCGGGCAGCGCTCTCCAGCAGGCAAGTGTCCAGTGCCCACACTCTGCGGACCCCTCCCAGTAGCAAGGTGATCAAGACCCGCTACCGCATCGTGAAGAAGAATTCCGCGTCACCCTCCTCTGTGCCCCTCGTGGCTCAGTCTGGGCCCTCCTGGCACTCACGGCGCCTTGCCCTGTCCAGGTCCCTGGTGCTCAACCATCTGCGCCCGGCCACGGGGACTGGGAAGGCTCAGCCCAGCTCCCCGGCGTGGTGAAACCCAGGCTACCGCTGCATCGGAGGAACCCTCTACCGGGTGTCTGCCAACAAGCTCTCCAAGACTGCTAGTCGCCAGGGCGATGCCGGGAGCAGGACACCCCTGCGTGTGGGCCGACTGGACTCTGCCGGCAGCTGTGGTCGCTCCCTGGCTAGCCGGGCCGTGCAGCGTAGTCTGGCCATCGTGCGGCAGGCAGGGCAGAGGCGGCGGTAAAAGGAGGAGTACTGCACATACTACAACCGCTTCGGCCGCTGCAGCCGCGGGGAGCACTGCCCCTACATCCACGATCCTGAGAAGGTGGCTGTGTGCACCAGGTTCGTTCGGGGCACTTGCAAGAAGACCGATGGGACCTGTCCCTTTTCGCACCAGGTGTCCAAGGAGAAGATGCCCGTGTGCTCCTACTTCCACCTTACAATACCCCAGGGATATCACGCCAACTCTGGGGACCACTGGGGATGGGGGAACAGGAGGAGGGTCAGCCCTGTCAAGCACATGCCACAAGCCAGTTTTCCCTTCCCAACACCAGAGTCTCACACCCTCTTCTGCTTGAGGTGACAGTTTTGGAGAGACATTGGCACGTGACGTATCCTAGGAAGGCCCACTGCCCGCGGGCCAAGATCTCTTGACCCTGGGTGGGTTGGAATCAGACTGAGTCCCTGCTCTGCCCAAGGCCCAGCGCTCAACACACGCACTTCTGGCTCTCTCCACAGCCATTGAATGGCTCGTCTACAGGATTGATCTCAGAGAGGTCAGAGAATCACCTGTACTTGAGCGTCCCATCTCAAAGCCTGAAGCCTGATGCCACCTCTGCAACTGTGCAACGGGGCTGCCAGCCAGAAGAAATACAGAAATTAGATGGGAACATTGATTGGAAACCCACTGGGCTCACGAGTGAAACACTACCACAGAAGGCCCAAGTGCACGTAACAGTTCAGGAAATCTTCAGGCCGGGACTTTAGCAGCACCATTAGGAGACAGATGCTGTAACAAACAGCGTAAAGTCAATTAATTAATAACTACTCAGGGAGCCTGCTTGGAGGGTGGGGAACTGGGGACATTGGTGGAGGGAAGATCACATTGATGGTGGGACTAGTTTTGGCATGCTGAATACCTGAAACAACTGTATTGTGAAGAACTGTCTACATCAAAGTGTTTAAAGTAAGAAAGGAGACAGACAGACAAAGAGGACAGTGTTTCCATAAATGACTGAGTATGAACAGTCAGGTCAGACTGAGCTCATGCCAGGTCGGCAGTGATAAGGGAATTTGGGGCAAGGGTCTGTCAGACGCCCTTCAGTCATCTCCAGAAATCTACTCTTTCCGGTACACTTGTTCTCCTTAAGTGTCATTGAGTGTTACCCACTGGCGGAGGCAAAAGAACCGACTTTGGCCCTGGTGGAGGGTGAAAAGGGTGGGACAGCAGGACCCCTGAGCAGGGACACCCAAGCTCTGATAGAGATGAAAGATGCGCAGATATGAACAGAAGCAGAGTGACCTCAGTGGAAACATTGAGATGGGGCAGTTGTGGATGAATTTTTGAAAGTTTTTTTCTAACCTCCTACGGAGTCCATGAAAAATTTAAAAGAAGCACATGGAATAGTCTAAATGTAGCCTATAACAAATGTCTGCCCCGTGAGAATGCACAGTAGACCCCAAACTCCAAAATGCAAAAATCAGAGAGCCAGAATGATAGTACAATTCAATTTTTTCTTTTCTTGCCCTTGCCAATGGGAGATATCCCCAGTATCCCATATGATCCTCCCGAGCACTAGCAGGAGTAATTCGTTTTTAAAATTTTAATTTTATAAAATTGTTCACATTATTTGATTACATTTAATATTTGAACACCAATCCCGCCACCATTACACCTTCCCACTAGCATATATCCATCCCGAATTCCAAACCCTGCCCTCAAAGTTGAACCAAAATAATTTATTTTGTATTGCTTGCATCCTCCACCCAGAGCCTCCAAATTCCAGTAGGCAGGGGTCACACCCACCAACTGGCCCCCTGGCTCCATGTAATCCCATCAATGGCCAAGACCCGGAGACTATAAAACCGAGATCCCAGAAGCACGCGGCTGAATTCGCGGCCACGCAACACCTTATTATCTCATTCTTACTTTGAACAAAATGGCAGGCTACCGAATGTAACCTGCCCACATGGTAGAGTCTGGCAAACTCCCCATGGTGTACCCAATATGCCAAATACTATTAACAATGATGGGTCTCATTCTCCTAAACCTGGAAGAGCTTTTAATCTGGCACTTTTTTAAAAAATCTCAGGGCTAGGATGAAGGAGACGTTACTGGGGCCTGCTCGAGGCAATCAACGAACAACAGGATGGTCGTGATTCGTGATTCGTGATTGCTTGTTCTTAATAATCTACTAAAAATGAGAAAAAAATATTCCTTAGAAGAAAGTGTGTGAAGAGTGCTGTATTTCGCCAAGGAGTCATTAAGACCTTTTATAAGAGATTTGTAACATGTTGTTAAAGTTTGAGCTTTGTCTGCATATATGTGTGTGTGTGTATAAATATATTTAGCACTAATATCCGTTGCCTTCTACTTTAAACACATTAAATGATGTGTGCTATTCTTGGTAAATTGGTGGGGTAACATGTGACATGTCCAGGGATAGATTGGCTCTTGAGTGATGCCTGTCCAAGCATATGGAGAGTCCCCTTGAGCATGGAGGTAGTTGAGTTCTGGAGGTTTTCGGATGCGGGGGCTGCCTCAGTTGGGGCTGAAGGGGCCTCACCCGGCCCCCCTCCGGGTTGCCCAGAATGAAACAGCCATTGCCAGGAGTAATTCTTGAGTGCAAATCTAGGGGTTACCACCAAGCATCACTGAGTGTGACCCCCCTCTAAAAAAAAAACTCAAACAGAAATTTTCGATAAACTATGTACTTTGTAAACAGTTATCACATACAACTGTGTCATAATTTCTTTATGGAAAGAAATGAATACTGGGAAGGGCAGTTTTTGTTTGGATATTATTTTAGAGAGAGATGGATGTGAAACTAATTTAAGTATGATTATAATTATGATAATCTAAATGGTGAATATCTTAAAATGATTTTTAAACATAAACAATACAAATTATTTTCATTAGCAACTTGAAATTTATTATGATAATTTTAACTTGACTAAGATTTTTAAAACAAGTGAGGAGCCTTCTATGACCTGTTTTAATGTACTTCATTGGCAAGTGCTCAATTCACCAGACAGGGTGTGTGAGTTCAGAGCCCTAATGGGACAAGGAGCTCCGAGGTCTGAAAGTTGCCCCTTATAACAGACTGGGTCACCTCATGCAAATCCCTCTCAGGCTCCAGGGTCAAATGCCCTCTGGACTGTGGAGCTCACAGCTGTCACCTCATTCAGGGCTGAGTTTCTGGGAAAGGAAGAGCTGTGGTCGAGAAGAAGATGACTCTGTGGGGTGTTATCCTATGGCTGGGGACAGGCCCCTGGGTGAGTGTCCCAGATGTGACAGGGTCTAGGGGAGGGAGTGACTGCAGGGACTGACAGTGACTGATTCCCCTTGTCCCCAGGTGCTGTGTCTGCTCTGACCCTGCAGGAGTCGGGCCCAGGCCTGGTGGCCCCCTCCCAGACACTCTCCCTCACCTGCTCTGTCTCCGGATTCTCCATCACAACCAGTGGTTACTGCTGGGACTGGATCCGTCAGTCCCCAGGGAAGGGCCTGCTGTGGTTGGGGAGTATATGTTGGGACGGAACAACCCACTACAGCCCGTCCCTCAAGAGCCGCATCTCCATCACCAAAGACGCGAACAAGAACCAGTTCTCCCTGCAGTTGAGCTCAGCGACCCCCGAGGACACAGCTGTGTATTACTGTGCAAGAGACAGTGAGGGGAAGTCAGGGGGAGCCCAGACACAACCCTGCTGAGGCCAGCGGGGTTTCAGGGCTCTCCAGGGCCACCAGAGGGCCCGCAGGACTGAAAAGGGCACAAGTACCGGGAGGGGGTCAGGCTCACAAAGGGAATCCTAACAGCACAATAACAAACACACACTGTTATCAGAGTGACCGCGGAGTCACACAGGGGTCCCTGTACTGCCATCACTCACTCTCAGGACTGGTCTATTCTCAAATCTCCCGCAGCGATCTCTGTACCGACTTGCTCCAGGATCTCACACTTCCTTCACCCCCCCCCACCATATGGGGGTGAAGGTCTCTATCCTCCCCATAG